AACTACAGGCAAAAAAGTCAAAGCTTTTTAGTAAATAATCAATGGGAATCTTGCGCTCGGTTCTGTCTAACTAGGTTCATTATATTAGGCACCGTCTTTCATATAGCCAGGCAATTGTCACTGTCAACATTCAGACGGTTACTAGATTTTGCTTTGTTGGTAAAAAGATCAGAAAAAAATTAGATTTGCACAGTTACGTTGTGGCAAATTAAACTAGCAATGAAGAAGCTTTCTTATTAAGTAGTAGGTAAGAATCGCAAAGAGATAACCAGAAACTAGAAAAGTCTTCTTTGCTCGATTTCAAAGCAAACTTGTTGGAAAAAATAAGCAGCCATGTCACCAATAAAGCCAACGTAACTGTGGTTCATTTTCGTATTATGGGCATTGGGAATTTACATATAGGCTTCTGCAGTTATATGATATCGACGGTTATGTCGCAGTCTAGAGAAACTGCCTGTCTGCAGGTTAGACGGCCCACCAACGAGCTATTCTGACTAGTAGATTCAAAATTCCATTATGATCAAACAATTCACACATACAAAAAAGTGAATACACCTCGTGACTGGAAACAATCTATTCAGGTAATAAAACTGAGGTGAACGGGGAATTTTTTTTTAAATGGAAAGTATGCAAATGAAGTCGCTTCACAATCAATTTTTAGCCTTGTGTCGTGGCCCCCCTTGAACTGCTTGGTGGCCCCCTTGCGGGGCCACCGGCCCCCGGTTGAGAACCACTGCAATAGGACTACGTAATCTGAGCGTAAAAAGTGTCTGGGCCAGGGTTGCCAGACCCCAGCGATCAAAAAAAGCCAAATCAAGACATACAAAAGCCAGAAAAAGCCAACAATTTTACTAAGTACAAAAGCCCCATGATTTGTCAGGTTTTAAGCCCTTGGCAACGTACTGATGATCATGTAGAGCCATCAGTTCATTCAGTGAGGCACACAAATAGAACTGTAGAAAGTAAAATAAATATCAAGCGGACAGCATTATTTTACCATTCAATATATACAATACAGGGTGCCGCTTCAGTCTGTCAGTATGTAATATACCTACATGTTTCTACCTAAACTTGTGATATACCTCAAAAAATTCCCCCTATATCGTACTTTACTATTGAATATTTTTTTACTTTTGAAATTTATAAACCATCAATTTTATTAAAAAAATATCTAAGCCCCTGCCGCTCACAGGTGGACCACTGTTATCTAATTCAGTAATTTTAGCGTAGTTAATCACATCGTTACTGCAATTGCAGAATTAAACTAAAGCTCACATAAACCCTATCAGGCATAATGAAAATTAAGTTATACAACTATTTTTTGGAAACAGAATGTAAAACTGACAAATAACACGCAAAACTATAAAAAACGAGGCAATGTTTACAACCCTGCTCGAACATCTGTCTGAGCAGCTGCAGAAACTGCAATTATTTCTTATGGGGTATGGTTTAAGAGTTAATAGAGTAACAAACAAGGAAATCGATGCTTCAGGAAATTCTAATGTTAAGTAGCTAATAAGTACAGGTAATAGGCTATTGTTCAGTTGTTACACACTAAATATTGTATTTCATATGATTTCAATAATAGACACTAGAATAGACTTGAAAAAAAAGCCCAAAAAAACGCCAAAAAGCCAAACGGAAATTCTGACGCCAAACGCGTTTGAAAAAAGCCAAAAATGGCAAATTTGGCGTTAAAAAAGCCAATGTGGCAACCCTGGTCTGGGCGAATGAACAGTTTGTAGTTTGTCATTGTTACGTCATCGTTGATTTATTGCTGATTGATAATTGTTACGAACATAAACAAGTAAATCGATTCTCGGGGAAATGTCCAACATTTGAGCTATGCTCAAATATATGGCCACGGAGGCCGAAACGCAATATTTTATCACCACCCGAACATCATATATATATATATGGTAAGATACCAACACCTGCATCAGGGCACCATTACCGTTACCTGAACGTTCCTAGCTCATGCAGGGGCTGTGACCATGGTCTCATGCTTCAAGATTCCGTTTTTCATAAAGAACTCCCCACTTTCTCCAAGCAAAAGATCCGAAGACTGAGCAGGAAATCCGTTGATACGCGTTCACGGAGCGCTGGAAATAATTTATTTTGTCGACGCACCACACAAAATTTCGGATAGAAAAACGAATACCACAGAAAGTTTTACAATTAAAAATTAAAAATGCCCTTGAGGAGTTATCGAAGCATACCAGTAGAGCTTACCATATCGCAGCTCACTTAGGTGCCGATAGTTTCCGTAAAACTCACACTACCGGAAATGTCGTCGAACAAATGACCTCTGCCCGAGCTCAGCAATCTGAAGGGAACACACGGTCACTCGCATCAACAATTGACATAGTCAAATTCTGTGGGCGTTTAAATATAGCTTCAAGACAGAAAATCCACAATGAGATCATCGAACTGTGCGGCGAAATGATCCGAAAGGCCCTCGTGGAGAAGGCCGAGAAAGCCAGTATTTCGCCGTTCTTGCTGATGAAACAAGTGAAATTGGAAGTATTGAACAATTTTCCATCTGTGTGAGATTCGTCCAAGCCGTCAATAAGTCCGACCATCATGCTCTTGCAAAATTGTTGATGTGCTTAGAGCACGAAGCAAAGAGGGGCACCACAGAAATTTTAAAGCAGAATTTTATATAGATTATCGGTGTTTATTAAAATAATACGAGTTCACCAGGCGACTCAAACTTCAAATTATTTTTTGTCTTCAAGTATCATATTAACCTTCTTTATTTAAAATAAACACTGAAATTTATTTATTGGACACGAAATGGGCCTATGAGTTGTTTTCTTAAAATGTTGTTGTTTTTTCTTTCTAGTATTCACCTCGTTGCTGCATTTTTGTTTTAAATTTTTTGTTTCTCTCCAACAATTGGACCAATGAACTATTTACACCATGTGGCGGTTCCACGATCGCATTTCAACGATCTAGTGGTCAGCGAAGTCAGGGAGTTTTTTGATAAGGCTTCAGTGACCTTCCGTGCTTAAGGCACCAAGGTGGTCCAAACCCTGTCATGCTGATACAGTCCGTGCGGCTCACAGAACAATTTTAGCGTATATTTGTATCTAACGGAGGAACGTTTTTGAGTTTTTTTTTAGCTATTCCAACTGGGGTTGGGATCTCAAGATCCAAACCCTTTTTCTAACGCTTTGTGCCTTTATTTTAGTAAAAACACTCCTCTATTTACAAGCGTCGGCCATGTGACAGTAGTGACGAAACGCAGAGCCGACTTAACGCCGCGCAATCCAGTTTTTTTTAGCTAGGTCCCGAAATACCAACTTGGACGGACTTTGACGGTTGGTATTTGACGATATCACTAATCTTGCTCACACTGCAAGTTTTTAAATTACTCAATATAACAACTCGTAATAAAATGAGTGTCGCAAGAAAAGTGACATAATGAAATCAGGGCGGAAACGTATTTCCTTGCCCACCACACAGTGTCTGGTTTGATTTCAAATAATATCTGTCACGAAAGAATATAATTTGAAGCGACATTAAACGCGAGATGCGCAAAATACAACGGTAATTCTCGGGAATTTATTTTAAAATAACTAAAGGCTTTATATATTTAAAATTTTAAGTTACAGTTATGACTTGTATCCTTTGGTATTTCGATTCATGTTGAGACTGGAGGCATGAATCTCTATTGTCACACTCCCTCATGATTAGAGCTCAACCGATATATCGGCCCCATATTGCGTGTTTGCCGATTTATCATATCGGCAGTAAACGCCCGATATATACATCGGCTATATATAACAGTTAAAAAACCTAAAAATGTTCGTAAAAGATGTTTTATTTACTGTTGGTTGTGATTATTTTTATTGGATAATACACTCATGTGGTTTATTGTTTTTATAATTAAATTACACATGAGGGGGCACCAAAGTCTTCAGTGCTTAGGGCACCAAGGGGGCCTAATCCGGCCCTGCAAACAGCTCACCCAAAGATGTGCTACACTCACTGCTGCTCGCCCTGCTGGACCTGTCTCACTCATGTGGATACGAAGGATTAAAAAGAACAGTGCGGAGTATAACAGGCGTCGTTAATTTTTTCCCTGAATAGTCAGTCCCAAACTCGTCAGAATCTTAAGAATGATATCATAGCACTTCTTCCGCCAAATCGACACTCTCGTTTGAAAACACTTTGAGGGATGAAAAAAACATGAGTCAATCACAGTATTTCGGGTTTTAGTGCGGGTAACAAGATTTGGCATTTATTTGAGTATTGCTCTCTTTATTAATTTCATATGAATCCTATGTGATGTGATATTTCATCCAAAATTTCAATGTTTCATTTTTTTCAATGGGCTATAATTTGGCAAGCTCTATTACTTGATTGCGACGTAGAAGTGACGTGATGTTTGGTTGACTTAGTCAGGTGGGGGTCAGGAATGACATATACAAATCTTATGCTACGCCCACTATAACTACTCGTGATACTAAATTACACTCGACCCAGTCAAGGTAGCCGTTCTATAGTCCCAGCTTCGTCCAGGATATAGTTTCGGGAAAAGATGGGGTAAAATATTTTTTTTGCTTTCGTGCCCATTCATTTGGGCATTCTTGCACTCAACCGACTGTTAGAGAATCAGTCCACAGAAAGTAGCCCTAAACGGACGTTGACTTATGGAAAAAGCTAGAACCCCAACTCAGTAAGTTATGATTTAGCTTTTGTTCTTCTTTCACTTGCACAACACAATACACAAACTTATCTGTATTCAATTCTCTTTTCACTCTTTTTTTTGCATACTCTATCGCATATTTACCGATTTTAATTCCAAAACCAGCTGGTTATTGATATGGTTACCATTTATAGCGAGTGTATCACCCTACTCATCAGTGTCCCTATTCTTAATCTTTTCCCATAATTGCTTACACACGGTAAGTTTTGGAATATTTTGGAAGCAAAAAGAGCATGAACATACACTGGGTTACTTCTCATTTATTAGATACTGAATGATGTCGTGCACGACATAACATGTATAAAACATCATGTATGGATGAAAAGCCTGATAATACAAAAATTTCATTTTATTGTCTACAAGTGGATAAATGTGTAAGATTGTCCGATCCGAAAAGAGTAAATTGTCCTAAAACGAATGTAGGAAAAAGTATATATTCTGAGGTACATTAAATTTCGGTAAAAATATTTGTACATTTCAATTAATATGGAATTAAATAGCCTCCACGTGAGGTATAGCCATTCAGAAGCTATTCTCTTGTTTTTATGGGGCTTGCAGCGACTGTTGGTAAAGTTCTTCCATCATGCGGTGTGTCGTCAAATAAACTGTTGGACACTCCTCTACGAGCAAGAGAAATGGCTAAATCAACTTGCCTAAGCCATGCCTTGTCTTTAAAAGTGCTCGCTACAGTCATGCATTGGATTGCGTTTTCTCGTGATGTCATCTGTCGATAATTCTCGAACAATCGCAATGTGACTAAAACTGGATTCTCTAATCTTGAACTTGTGTGGAAAAATGGTCGCAAATGATTCTCGACGCTGACAGCCGGAAGTGGTATGCTTCCTTCAATTAAAACTTTTTTACGCATGGTACGTCGAGCATTTCCTTAAAATATGAGACTTTAATACAATATTCACTAAATTTCATATGAAATATCGCATTCAATAGTACTGTACAAACCGAAATAATCTAAAAATACGAGTTGAATTGTTATAGCATCTTCGAATTTTCACGTAAACAGGGAACACCATTAACTCCAAAAGAAATTTCATTTTACAAAATTTTCATGAGTATTATAGAACTCAGCTTCTGCTATTAACTTCTTCCAACGTTCAAAACTAGCAGTGTTGGAGAAGCTCAAGTAATTGACTCGACCCAGCTTGTACTAAAATCACCATTTACCATTGTTATCAACCCAATCTCCAGTTGGACTTATCTCAATTAACTCGACTTAAATCGCGGATCGAGACTTTTACCAAACACGAAAAAAAATCCACATCTACTCGCCCGAATTATTGGAATCTATTTCCTTATAACGGCTTCTGGAATTTGCTTTGCAAACATACCTTCACGAATAGCGGGTAGTCCACCCTGTCCTGGTTTTGGTGTTTGTATATACGATGCAGAATCAGTATTCACTCCATCTTCTTCAGTAGGTGTGCTTTCTTCTGTGTCGTAGGACACGTGATTGCGTCGTCTACTAATTCCTGATAATATAATAAAACTTGCAAAACCGCAATAAGATCAATATATCAAATTGCAGCACGGAAATTGCATATTATGCAGTTGTAAAACATCTAATCGTTAACGAGTACGAATATAGTCTCGTTCGCCAGAATTTGTTCTAATGTTTTTTAGAATATAAAATAACATCTGTGTATCAGAAAGTAGGCTACTAGACAATTTATCCAATCCTGTACCAAAGACCACTCAAATATTTTATGTGAACTAGAATATTCTCTAACTCTGCTAAACAAAAAGCATAAAATTCTTTTTAAACATACTTGGTAGTCGGGGTGCATCATCTGTGATCTCGCTACTTTCAGAATATTTTACGTCTCGTTTTTTCAAATGAGAAAGTGCAGATTCGGTCTTGCCTAAGTGAGAATCATATCGTTGACGAATCTTGTGCCTTCGGTGATCAAGTCTTGAGCCATCATTGAATACTATATATATGTTTATATTTAAACAAGACTGCATTTGAATAAGCTAAATACTGAAGACCTCAATGTGAGTTTGTGTAGGCTTTTTGTGAACGAAGAGTAAAGAAGTGGAAATGTCCAGGCTTGTCCATGGGAATCCCATGTGAAACGTCTCGTGTTATGGGACAGGGGCATACACTTGTATTTCCCATGGGACAGTAGCCATGTCCTAACAACTTGATTGCGTCAGGGCTGACCTTGGTCTTCATACTTTTTTTACCTTCAAAATGTCTTTCCTCCTATTTTTTCATGGGAATCCAACGGGAAACGTCCCATGGGATGGAACAAGCATAAATTGCTGTAGGATGAGACAGAAAAATGAACAAGCCTTCTTTATTTTCGTGGTCAAGCTTTTTCTTTGACGAGCTGATTACTTAAATAATTTTTGCTTTAAAAAGTTCTCTTCTCAGTCGAAAATAAAGCTCGAAATACTATGTGCTACGAAATAAAACATTATTGCTCATATTTGAGTCTATGATATACATCGACGGCAACCGTCTCACACAGAGTTTAATAATACACGTGAAACGATAAAGACACATTACCTTGAGGGCAGTATGTCGACTTACATATATATAAATCACTTGACAATCGTCTCTTACCCGGAATCTGATGAAATGCGGGGTCCGGCATAGATAATATTTCCAACTTCGATTTTGAATTCATTTGGTTATCGCTATATCCATCCACCAGAACCCCATGTCCAACCATTGCCGGTGCCTAAAGCATGTTAATATGCAAATATATATATTCCTATATATATATTTATAATATATTGTATTTATAATATATATAATATATATATATATTGGATATTAAAAATGAATGGTGTATTGAATTTGATCGATATAAACGCCTTGTGCTAAAATATTCATATTTGACTTTGAAGATTCGGTATTTTTAACTTGAAACTAGAAATATTTACACAAAAAAACAACAAGTAAATAAAATGTTCTTAAGCATTTTATGTACTAGCCTTGTATGGGCGTCTTCTCATTGATGATTTGTACGATCCCGAGTTGGCAAGAACATTATCACGAGCAGTCTCACACCATTTTCTAGTTTTTATCACGATAAGCACCGGGAGAGTAATGTTATTTTCTGTGTGACTGCTGTACAATTTTGACGATAAATACTGGACACATTCCAGTTGTTTATGGCTGAAAATTCAATTAGGAATTTTGTAACTGTTGATATCGTATTCAATTGATCATTAGTTTCTATTATTAGCGTAATCAATAATCTAGGATTGAGTATTACTGAATTTTGTGTTCACATCTTTTCAGCGCACCTTTTTACATGGGTTTGTAATAAATATATACAAAAAATACAAATACAAAATTATTTCATTTTGTTTTGTTAATTGTTTTATTCTGGTTTTTGTCCAAATACAACATACAATATTGCAACATAAATTCAATTTGATTAATTAATAGCTTTATTAGCGACGATATACACAAATCGGATTCTCGCCCTTGCCACCCACGCATTTTGTAATGCGATGCAAAATCGCGATTTTACCAGAATGCTACTTGCATAGGTGTTCTTCCTTCTCCATCTTTGGCAACTAGACAACAAATATTATTTTGGACAAATATTCTCAGGACGTTAACTTTTCCACAAATGACAGCTTCATGAACAGGACTTTTCCACGTGTCGGCATGTGCAGATAGCTGGAAAAAATTGCATTGTATTCTGGCATATTTCGGTATTTTATTGAGAAGGGCATTTTCAAAATTGCTACTATCATTGACAAAATTGCTTGTGAGCGTTTGCTTATGATCCCGCAACAAATCCAACCCAACAGACAAATATGATTACAATTATACTTGTTTTTGGACTGGCGAAGTTGAAAAGATAACCTTTTACCTTTGACCAAAGTTTAGCAGGATGCTGACCGACTGGTTCTTCGGGTTTGACCGCACCAGATTTTGGATTCAGCATTGAGTTAGCCAAGTCCACAAAACCAAAATGGGCGGCAATGTAACATGCTACTCTTAGCTGAAATTTTGCTGTCTGTAACGCAAGAGTGTTCTTTTATGAAATGTACTCTCGATAAAGTGTTTTATTAAATTGTGTCAAAAAGACATCACCTGTTCATCTCCTGAGGCATTTCTCAAAACTTTTCTGGTATGGCCCTGTGATGCCGCCTTTAGCAGTTCTGCCCAACCATCCCACACATGAAGTTTTATGACCGATCCGAAGTCAACTCCATAACGATCGAGCATATGACAGTTGTACATTTCTCGGCCATCTTTTGTGCATAATCGGAACACAGACACAGGAAAACCAGATTTTGAAGAAACAAGTCGTGTCAATTGACTTACAGATGTCGTCGCAAAATTCAGCTGATCTCGTATAACTATAGTTTCCCTGAAATATTAGTGTTGTGGTTTTTGTTAAATAAACTTTGCTTCAATGCAAGATTTGCAGCATTAAATGAAAAGAGAAAATCAATGAAGCATAAGTTTACATGGATTTTCAGTAAAAGCTGTGAGAAAAATCTATTTTTTTGCCAATCTTTAACAGTTGACAACATGAATTGGGGTACAAATACGCACAACATACAATTAGCTATATGTGTTTCTTACCCATTATAGGGGCATTCTACGTGAAGAACAGGCTGGTCAGAATCAATCAATGCCGATTTTATTGTCGAACCAGATGAAATACCGATGTCCGAGCAAACCCATTCATCTCGGAGTATTGCTCCCGCGTACAACATTCGGAGAATTTTTCCTTCTGCGTGAGATGAATTCAACTGGACATTTGAAAGAAAGTTATAGATTTAAGAAATTTTATCATAATAATCATTGGCGATAAAGATATGAATTTTACTAGGTCATTAAATTTAGTTATCTAGATTCTAAAGATTCTGCTGGGTTAAAATCGCATTTACAACCGATGAAAATATACAAAAATTTAGCAAAGCTATCGACATCATCATGAGATACCTTGAAATGTTCCCTTAGCACTATCTTCACATCGTGAACTGTCTGACCTGGCTGTACGTCCATTGGCAGACGAACGTCTTCAAATGCAACAAAAATTCTCATAATCGTTTATATGTGGCGGTTCTTCGCAGGCTTTAAACCAAAAAATGAAGAACTATATATATAGACAGTGAATGCAAAAGACATAAAAAGAAATATCCTGATTTTCTCATCATACCTTTACACACTTAACACAGTAAATAAATACCTTCAGTAATTTGATTCTATGGCACAAATTGAGTATTGACTTCTTTGGACAATTTTAAAGCTAAATTTTTGCTCATTGTAGTCAATATTTAAAAAATATAAAATGATATTCAGCGGACTCTTCTAATAGGTATCTGTCTTCCGCCAAACATTGAAAGCATCAGAGTTAAATATCCCACACGTGAATGCCTAGTGCTTATCTGTCTTTTGTTTTCGTACAGTGTACGATAAATCAGAACCATTGTTATAGATACATTTGATACGAATTAAAGCGTAAAATGGAAGAATGAAGGGAATATTAAGTGACAGTAAACATTTATAAAGTTTTCACTCGCCGTTTTTATTTGTAACATTGTTGAAATTATGACAAAAACATTACTACTTTACGCAATGACATGAATTTAAATTAATAGATTACGTTTATGAGCAATGAGAATTGAGATACCGTTTTACACTAAAAATAGCAATCGGCCACTTGAATGGAAAACAATACGTACATATAATTTATGCTAATAACGCTAATTGACCTATGACCCATCCATATTAGCGATGTGAAGCAGAGGCTTTGAATTTTTTTACTAAAATCAATCAGATTCGTAGTAGCGTCTGAGAATTCTTCAAAGTTGGAATTTCGTTTTTTATAGAAGAGAAAATTTTAACTTAAATTATGAAAGTCAGTTTACCCATGTTTTGTTTCGGAGGCAAAGTCTTTGTTAAGCCCTACTCAAGCAAACTGTTGTAAATTTTGTAGATCTGCTCAAAATTCGATTTTAAAGATGGGATCAGGGTGGTTATTCAGATGTAGCCTACCTGAATTAGAAAAGTATACAAATTGACTATAGTCGTATCTACAGGTACTCAATTCGAGGGAACATAACTTTGAAACTCTACGAGCGGAGGAAAGATTCCAAGAGCGGTGCTTATTTTAACATGGATAGTAAATATAAATATCGCAACAGTAAAATACCGCACTATCAGCAAAGTAATTGGAAGGGATGTCATATAAAGCATACACACATGCAATATCACAATGTATCCAATAATTGAGAAAAACTGCTAAATCACTGGATCTAAGAACGTCATCGACCGCGTAGGACTCCCATAGATTCTCCAAAGTTATAGCTAATAACCCAAGATGCATAAGTTAGCAGTTATATTACGTAAGTTTGTTCAATAACTTAACACATTGAAAACACCGCAAAACAATAATGCAAGACGCAGTTTAATTACATTCTTGTCAATGAACATTTTCTTGTGGATCTGCATTGTTGACATGTATCTTGTTATAAATAAATTGATTGACCGTTAAAAGGACACTTGCGAAGATGGTCCTCGGTAATTCTTTGGCTGAATCATGCGCAGGAGAGGTTCAAACTTTTTCATAAATCGGAAACCACACAGATATGAAGCATATTTGTATCAGATTCCTAGCTCCGGGGTCACGAATCTGCCGCCTGCAAAACAAAACAAACAATGAGCAATGTCCCCGAGGTACACATATGTCGAGAATTCCTTGTGAAAAAAATTTCGAAGCCGATATAAAGATGTTCACAGTCTAAATAGTCACGCCACGTTGACAAAACAAGCATCGATTCAAACAACATTAGCCTTGAGATCTTTTAAATATTCCGACAGTCATCATTGCCGTCCCCAATGGCCGCGCCACTTATCCGATCCCGGACGTAGATTCTCGTATTCATTACCAACTTTCATGACCTTTGACCGATGCTGCCAGCTACGTTTTTTGTGCTGTTTTAGGGGACGCTCGTCGCGGAGAACGGTGCGTCAGTTTTATACTTATGTGTTTTATACATGCTTTGACTTGTTTGAATAGCTCTCTGTGTGTTAGCGTTTTTTCAACAGTCTTTTTCACGGTTTAGATTAGATTGAATACAGACTAGCTTGTATATCTGTTATACATTTGAGCTGCTTTGTTACACAGTAGGCCTATATCGGTACCGAACTTCCACACAAATCAGAGGGGGCTACTTCCAAAGTGATGGTACTGGCAGACTGGATGCATAGGCAAAGGATTTTCTCATTGCACTGGAGTACACCGAGCACGATTTGTCGGATGTTTGGGAGGTAAATTTTTCAGAGGAGAAGGATTACATACCGTGCGGTACCTATAAGTACTTTGCAAAGTAAGAGTGATAAACTGCAAAAGAATGTAACTATATGAAGGGAGAAAGCAGCTATCAGGAAAAGGAAATTTCACCCTTGATTAAGTACCAATCATGTTCTAATAGGAAAGTTACAATTGAAAACAAGGAAAAGGAATGAGCCCCCAAGTGTTTGGGACTCTGCAGAAATGTCCTTCTGCATGTAGAATTTGTTGACTAGATGATCGGGGTTGAAGCCTGGATAGCATTTGGATGTATTCTCAGCATGGTTAGGCTTACCATACGTCCCGCTTTAGGCGGGACAGTCCCGCTTTTTAGCGTCTTGTCCCGCCAAGCCAGCCAAAAGTCCCGCTTTTGCGTTCAGCAATCCAGCTTATTATATGAACATGTTCTCATTACTGTTGTTGCTGTGTAGCGCAACGCTGGCGTACTTACTAAAGGTGAATGCGTTATTTTGTTTGTTTCGTTGTTTCCCGCTACAATTGTTAGCGAACGTATCACATGTAAAATCAATTCTAATTGGTCCTGTTCGGACGTTCGCGTGAATGTAACATTGAACAACGATTTTTTAAAAGTGTTATCTACAGAAAAGCATGCTTTGGCGAATAAGTAAATTCTCAATGCTTGAAAACGGCAGACTATTTCAATATTCTTTATTCCTTCTGCTCTACATAAAAAAATCTAAATTCGGATCATTTGTATCGTTAGCGTCTATTCCATTCTATTTTTCGAACTGAACTCGATATTTAGACAGAGAATATGCGCATGAACTCTCGATGACAATATGGCCAATGAAAACAGCCGGGATAGCTTAAATGTAGACCTGTCCTATGTAGCCTGACCTGTAAAGTTACAGGAGGCGTCCCGCTTTGAAGTCAAAAAAATATGGTAACCCTAAGCATGGTAGACCAGAGGAGGTCAAACTCGCGCCCCTCCAACCATCAACAGTATTTGTAATATTTTTTATTTTTATGGAGTAAAGACAATTTACAGAAGTTGATTTGTATAAATTGCAATAATGATGATATGCAGGAAGTTAATACGTAAATGGCATTTGAAATGTTAACTGTTTATAAACATAAAAATACATATATACACACTATATAAACACGAACACTTTAGTCTGCGACAGAGCCCCTTCCTTGTTCAGAATGAAACTCAACAAGTTTTATTCTAAAAAAAAACCGCCCTGTCTAAATGTGAAATGCACTAATTTGATTTCAAAAGACACTAAATAGCCAGTTTTCAAAAATGTGTGTACTCCACCCCCTTCAAACTAGGGGTATATGCACCAGAGAAGTTCATGTCAGCATAAGAGAAAGAAAATCAAAGTTATCACGATTGAAATGGAACGAACACTATAACAAAAAAATTCAATCACAGTCGATTAACTCTCGAGTTTGTTATGTCGCCTTCAAACGCAGCCAGCAAAAATATAACTCAGATAGTTTTCCTTCTGTATCTACGCGTTCGTCATCTCAGCAATTGGGGAAAATGTTCCCTCCTGGATTTACTCCTTCCCGCAGGGGTCCCGCTCCGATATGCAACGGTTACTGGCTCATATTGACCACACACCATGAGATTTTAACACTTCAGGGTTCCACCACCAAAGTCAATGCACTCAATCCCATTTCTGAAAACCGGTCACAAAAGTTCAGCCAGCCTCACCCACCGGCTGCACATCGCTCCACCATTATTACTCGAAAGCTCACTCATAAAAAAAAAACATTGTTTAACACCAAGGGGAAACAATTTCATTCCCCAACCTTTGCTGCAACTTGGAACACACAGTCTTTACACCATATGTATACCATCTACATAATTTTTAACTTTGTGATCGATGTCATATTTAAAAAGGTCAATATTGAAATCCCCAAGAAAAAATGAACTAGAACCATATAAGCTGAGATGTGTGAGATCATTGAAACAAAACGTTCTTGGAATTCAGAATACGAATGAAGAGGATGACTACAAACAACTCCAACTATTAATTTTTTTTGTTGTATATCACAACTAGTATTATTAATTTTCAGTTCAATCCAAATGTTCTCACAGCTAAGGACTTCAAAATTAAGATCGTCACGTTTTATAGCATGTTTATTGTCTAGTCTAGTAGTACATATATTCCTACTCCATCGGCATTAGTCGGTGAGTCACGATAAAAAAACTTATACCTATTTAATGAAATATTGTGGTCTGTTTTACCAAGTTTGGTTTCCGAAGTGGCTATAATTTCAGGTAAGTTTATTGCCTGGCTAAGAAAGAGTTCAATTTTTCTTTGTTACGGTATAAACTTTGTACATTGAAGTGCATCATGTGCATTGTCCCTTTTTCATTAGCAAGTAATTCTTGGATGGCTAACTGGGTGTTTATATAATTGCTTCCAAGGTCCCATTGCACGACATCTGGTATTATATCAGAATTGGCATAATTAGTAACGCTTTCGAAATCATATACCACCGAAAGATTTTCTGCCATACAAACTCTGTAGTAATATGGAATGGTGCTATTACCTAGGTTAAGAAATTGTCCATACGATAATAATGAACATTTAAAGTGAATCCACTGTTCACATATATCACAAAATATGCTATCATCATCATCTGTTAAGGTATCAGTACAAAGTTTACAAGTATATTCATTAGCAGGGCTCATTTACATTCTAAGATGTTGGAGGATCTCCAAAATTTAAAAATGTATCACTCATATTCAAAAAAATCCCAACAAGATTGCAAATTAACAACATGAAACTATCGAATTTTAACTAGATCATCAGAACTAGATAT